CAAACAGAAGCTCAAGAACAACCAAAAATTTTCATGATCTTGACTTGACCCCCCATTTAAAATTAAAAGTGATATCAACAGTTGGATTGAGATTTTTTTTTTCCTATAAAAAGAAGATGACGTCATCAAGTGCCAAAAACGGGTTTCCTATTATTATATATATATAGATTGGTTCAGAACAGAGAAGCGAAACAGAGCAATATAGTAAAAGGCCCAAACACAGCCAAAGATTTGTTCTTGATTATGTACAAACTTCATCAAATGATTTCTCAAGAGACTGTCTTGATCAAATGTTATGTATCTCTGCACCTATCTCCCTGCAATTTTCCTTCTTATGATAATATATACGGTTCTTGAATCTCCCTTTGTATTTGGCTAATAGAAAAGCAGGAAGACGCTGAAGCGGCTTCTTTAGATCTCAATCGGTTCAAATCACTCATCGACACATGAGCATCTTGTGAAGTTTTTTTCCTTGACTACATAACAGTGAGAGTAATCGTGGAAGATAACCGCCATTTTTCTCTTCTCTCCTTCTTTGTTCTCTAACCAAGATTGGAGAACAAAAACTATTTCAATCTGCTTTCATTAGGTTAGTGGTCAGTACAATATAAATACTACCTTCTTGATTAGTGATTATTGTTTTGATCACCAATCACGCAATGGCGATGTTTATGCCTTGTCCCCCTCCAAAGAACACGGCATATGCCATCTTTATATGATACATATTTTATCTTTATAATAAAACTGGTGCCGCAAAAAAAAAAAACATATCAATTTAAAAGAGTAGTTGAATGTGCAGAATGATGGTAACGGCACCATCCATGCATATATTCGCTCTCAAAACCACTCTGTATCCAGCTCATGTCATTACCACCTAGAGCTTTATACTATACTTCAAAGAAATCAAATTTTGCAGTGTAGGAGGCAGACAATATCTGAAACAATCTCTAAAAGATTAAGTTTAAAATGGTGCACATGAATGTATCCACGAGTGACGCGTTAAATATCATATGCTTCATGGAGACAAGTCGTGCTGTATTTAAAATATTTTGTAACATAAAAGATGTGATTGAATCTTAGTATTTACATGTGGTTAGAGGGAGACATTGCAGAAACATCGTTGAACCAACTTTAATAAAGATTCCAAATGTTTCACTTCTCTAAAGGTGTATATATATGTCATGACCAGAGAGGTAATGAAGACAGAATAAACATCTTTTAGCTCTCTTAAGCCTTCTTTTGATCTCAAAACAAGAAAGCAAAGCTAAACCAAATATAAAAATGGCAGTTTCTTCCCATGTTCGATCTAACAGCTTCCCTTCTAGGCAACACCCTCAAGCTGCTCATGTCGATGAGCAACTGACCCGATTGAGATCTTCTGAAGCAGCTACAAGCTCTTCTATATGCCAAAGACTTAGTAACCTTCAAGATTTACATGAATCTCTAGAGAAGCTTCTTCGCTTGCCCGTCAAACAACATGCTCTTTCTCAAGAGCATATTGAGAGGCTTCTTGATGGATCCATCAAGATCTTAGATTTATGCAACATCGCCAGGAATGGTTTGTCGCAGATGAAAGAGAGTCTCAAGGAGGTCCAATCAGTTCTACGAAGAAAGCGTGGAGATCTATCAACTGAAGTCAAGAAATACTTGGCCTCAAGAAAGTTTCTTAAGAAGTCATTCCAAAAAGTACTCAAGAATTTGAAAACCGGCCAAAGCAACGAAGAGTCTTTGGCTGTCTTCGGAGAAGCAGAAGCCATAACAATTGCTTTGTTTGAATCTCTATTTACCTTCATGTCTGGATCAAAGGGTTGTGGAAAATGGTTAGTAGTCTCAAAGATGATGAGCCAAAACAAAGCTACATGTGAAGCTGAAGCAAATGAATTCACAAGAGTGGACCTGGAGTTCCAATCCGAGAAGTCATTGAAGGTGGAGGATGTGCAGATCCTAGAGTCATGCATTGAAGATCTTGAAGATGGAATTGAGTCACTCTCTAAATCATTGATCAAATACAGAGTCTCAATTCTTAACATCTAATAGATTATTGTAACCACAAAATTTTGTACAAATAGGAACTGTAAATCTAAACTAACACACACACTAATACAAGATTTATTCATATGAAAAAATTCTATCAAATCTTCTTTCTTTTTACACACAAGAACACAAATTTTCAAGAAACAAGAAACATTTACAGTTGAACTTGATTCATCTTTCGATCCATTAAATTTTACCATCCTATATTTTCGGATGATTGAACCTTTATCCCGACATATCATGTGTCATCTCTGTACTTCCACATGTTCTTCAATACTTTAGAAAGCTTGAAACCATGTTCACTATGGATTATATCTTATTCTAATCTCGTTTATTTTGCTTCTTCACATGCCTTTAATCGACTAATGCGGATCTTGATCATGCATCCATACTTAAAAAAAAAAGATTTTAATTTATTGGTCAAGAGCACTTGATATTTTATCTTGTAATCTGAAATTTTACTCTATCAATAACCAAAAATTAGTTAAAATTAARCATGAAATATCTTTAGATAGTCTCTAGACAACTATTTAATTTCTATTTTTCTCTGTTTATTTGTATTTACTCTGTTTTGTTCGGTTTAGTATTGTTGCTCTGTTTTCTGTGTTTTATTAACATGTTAATCTTTTCTGGTTAGTTTATTTTTAACCCTATTATCAAAACTTCTGATGGAATTTTATTGGACTTGAGATAGTGATCAAATCAAAGTCTGAATCAAGTACTAAAGTTGTAAAGGCTTAAGCCTCCTTGTAGCTTGCCAAGCTTTCATCTTCTTAGTGGCATGGTTTCGTTAGTCGGTAGACCTTTGTATCAAGTTAAATTTCTGTAAATGACATAATTGTGATCAGAAGTTCAAAATCTTGGATCATTATAGAGAAGCATACGTAGCAACTTCTGCTCTCTCTTTTAAACAAAGATTCTTCCTCGATCTTGAATGTTGCGATGTTTATGCATTGTCCTCTTCCAAACAACCATGGATAAACGGGAAAAAATGATATCATTCATAATATATCACAATATTAAGAACAATAAATAAATGTGCACGAGAGACTTTGCATCTTATTGGCCTTGTTTAATGAATAATCCAGCATGGCTTGTCTTCTTTGAATTTGATTTATAAACAGCACCATTCATGTCACTTACCATAATAATGATCCTTAAAAAATTTTGGAGATATCAAATTTTGCAATGTAGGAAGCAGACAAGATCTGAATTTAGCCAACGAAAGGTTTTAAGATAATAAAGATGGTGCACATGAATGCATCCACGAGTTACGCTTATATCATATGGCTACTTCAATGAGACAAGCCTTGCTGGTTTTGCATTTACCAAAAACCAATAATATGTAGTAACATTAGTTTATAAGATAATCCATGTGATTAAATCTGAATCATATATTTTTCTATTGTTATTATTGCTTGATGCATTATGGTGGCATTGCATAATCATCGCTGTCGAAAGTATTAAAATTTGTGTATATAAGCTTTGACAAAGATAGCCAATGAAGGCAGAACAATACATCTTTTAGCTCTCTAAGAACTTTCTTCATTTCAAAACAGAGAAAGAAAGCTCAAACAAAAAATGGCGGTCTGTTCCCATGTTCGATCTAACAGCTTCCCTTCAAGGCAACACCCTCAAGCCGCTCATGTCAATGAGCAATTGACCCGATTGAGATCTTATGAGGCACCTTCCTCATCTTCAAGCTCTTCTATTTGCCAAAGAATTAGCAACCTTCAAGATTTACATGATTCTCTTGACAAGATGATTCGCCTATCTATCACCAACAAAGCTTTATCTCAAGAGGAAATTGAGAAGCTTCTTGATGGATCCCTCAAGATCTTAGATTTATGCAATATTGCCAAGGACACTTTATCGCAGATGAAAGAGGGTCTCATGGAGATCCAATCGATTCTACGAAGAAAGCGTGGAGATCTATCTAGCGAAGTAAAGAAATACTTAGCCTCAAGAAAGTTCCTCAAGAAATCATTCCAAAAAGTTCTCAAGAGTTTGAAAGTGTGCCAAAACAAAGATGAATCATTCGTTGTGTTTGGAGAAGCAGAATCCGTAACAATTGCTTTCTTTGAATCTCTGTTTAGCTTCATGTCCGGGTCAAAGGCTTGTGCCAAACGGTCTTTGGTCTCAAAGCTAATGAGCCATAACAAAGCTATACTCGAAACAGAAGCAAATGAATTCACAACGGTGGATTCGGAGTTCCAATCCGAGAAGTCAG